AAGGAAAAACATGCGGCAAAAAGAACTGGGCTTACAAACTACAATCAGCTCAATGAAGAAGCATTGAATAAGTGGCAACGGAGTTGGGATATATCCACGAAAGGAAGATGGACACATAAGCTCATTCCAAAGATAAGTGATTGGACCAACAGAAAGCATGGACAGGTGAACTACTATCTTACCCAGATGTTAACTGGACACGGCTGCTTCAGAGCGTACCTTTTTCAGTTCAAACATGACGAAGACGACACGTGCCCAGCATGTGCAAATACAAAAGAAACGGTAGAACATGTGTTCTTTGATTGCCCGAGATATGAGAGCCATCGCAGCTCCTTGGCAAGAGCAATCAGAGAACAGGTCACACCTGATAACATAATCCAACTGATGTTGAGATCAACAGAAATCTGGAACCTGGTGTGTGTATTTGCGAAAGAAATCATAGAAGGACAGAGAGCAGCAGAGAGATCTAGAAATGCAGTAAGAGATGACAGCAGTCGCTGAATCACCACCCTCCGAAGTAATGCTTAAATGTGGTTCTGGAGGGATTTATGGTTAGAAGAGGCACGGTGTTAGGATGAGGTTTAGTACGTAGGCGCATATGCCAAGCAAAAGAGTAAGTCTTGGTTGCGAATCGTGCATGCTGGTAGTACGGGCTACTAGTATCTTTTGAAGATTCCACATCCCTTAGCTCGTATAGCTTAAAAACAAAAAAAAAACATTTGTGCTGTGCGACTGACTTATAAAAATGTGCACAATCAGATGTGTGATAAAATTTTATGCTTGCACCGCACTGTGCGACAAAAAATTCTCTCTGCACACGAGTGTGTTGCTCATATTACGATTGCACAAATGTGCAATCGTTATATGAACAGCACACTCGTGTGCACAGAGAATTTTTTGTCGCAGTTATGGGCAAGTTATGGGCAAGTTATGGGCATTTGCTTTCTACACTTTTTGACCACCTTTTTGGCAATTTGTGGATACCACGCCAAAAAAATTGTTCGTCTTTTAAAGCAAATCAACCAGACACCCAATTTTCGACCTCCTCGTAGGAATCAAAGTGCTGCTCAGCCAATGCGTGTCCCATAGATGAAAACAAATGGTAGTCGGAAGGAGGCAAGTCTGGTGAATACAGCGGATGGGGTAGCAGCTCCCAGCCAAGTATTTTGATTGCATCCTGAACCCGTTTTGCTTTGTGTGCAGGTGCATTGTCATGGAGCAGAATTACTTTGCGTGTCCTGGCCCATTCTGGTCGTTTCTCGATCAATGTATGGTTTCTTTTTACATTTGTTGTATAGCGACACAGTGAGGTTTCACCAGGTAGGAGCTTGTGGTACACCACACCTTTTGGCCCACCAAACACACAGCATTGTCTTCTTGGCGAATCGATCTGGTTTTGTATCGATGTTGTGGTTGTCCCGGTTATCCTGATTTTTTTCTTTAGGTTCTTAAAATAAATCCATTTTCATCGCAGTAACAATCATGCAACACGATACGACAGCTCTTTCGGTCTTTGAAGCAAAATTCACAAGTGTTTTTTCGGTTTTCATCTGCTTTCATTCAATTCCGGTGGCACCCCTTCCACATTTTGGTCTTTCCATGGCTTTTAAACGGTCAGAATTGTTGTTGTGCAACATTTAACATTTCTGCCATTTGCTTTTGACCCAAGTGTCATCTCCATCCAATATCGTTTGCAATTCGGTGTCTTCAAACTTTTTTGGCGGTCTTCCACGTTCTTCATTTCTCACATCAAAATCATTATTTCTCAACCGTTGAAACCATCTTTTGCATGTTGCTTCTGATAGAGCATGATCACCATATGCCTCGACAAGCATTCGATGCGACTCTGCTCCACTTTTCTTCAAATGAAAACAAAAAATTAATGCTTTCCGCAAATCATCACTTTCTGGTACAAAATTCGACATTTTTAACACGATGAAAAAATATGATGTTGTTTGTTCAATGACTTCAATGTATACTAAATATATTTCACACATGTCATAGCAAACAAACAAAAAAAAATAACGGCTCGTTCACAACAAATGTTCCCTATCGGAACATTTGTATTTTTACGCTCACTTCATACCGGTACACCTAATATATGAATGCATACTAATAACAGATTAGGTAAAATACTATTAAGTGATACTCTTAAATAAAAAACAAACAAACTATGCCTCATTCCTGTTAATCACTTACACCTTAAAGGACAAAAGCAATACTCTATAATGTTTATTTTAATTTTTAAATGATGATTATTGATAAATAAAATTTTATGAAGTAGTCCAAATATGATATATTTAATTTTTTCAAAGTACGATCCGTAGAACCGATCCTCTTTATTTATAACATTTCGAAACAAATACTCTTTCTCTATTAAATTCATGTACCTATTTAATATAACAAAGTTTTCAAGTACATTGTGAAATTAACTTTATTCCTATGTTTTAAATTAATAAACCTTAAAATAATAACTAATATAAGCAATAAATGTAAATCTAATAACAAATTCAAAATTAAAATATAAATAGAAAATCATTTTTTCAATAAAATATTTCGCCTTAAGACGAGAATTAATGCAAATGAGTCTTTCATACTATTTTGTTGCATTATTCATCGTAATATTGTGCGATTTTAAATCATCATTTTACACAAATGTGCAATAGTCATTTCGTCTCCGCACATTTGGGTGCATTTTTATTTTCAAGTGTGCACACAAAATGTGCTCCTCGTATTCTTTTCTGCACACGTTGTGTGTGACGGCAAGCTGGCTGCCTCACACGCAATGTGCTGGGCGAAAAAACTTTGGCACAAATACAGTTTGAGTGTGCGAGTTTTATTTCACTCCACCACATTCGTGTGAAATGTGCGTTTTGTTTGTGCACACAAAATGTGGACTTAAGATGTGCACAAAAATTTTCGCACATCACATTTGTGATGTGAAGTTTTATTTAGAATTGCACAACATTTGTGCGTGATATTTTGCAATTTTGTGCAGAGCACAGTGTTTTTCTGATTATAAGCTTTAGAAATTAATCTGCTATCTCTGTCAGCTGTTTGAGTTTTTTAATAAAGTAATGCAAAAAGAAAGAAAGTCACCAAAAATTAATATTTTATGCACTTCAAACTGTTACTAATTGTTTTTCGCTCAAAAATGATCTATTTTTGTGAATTTGTATTAATAACAAAAGTGATATTTATAAGAGTACTTCTTATTTACTTGTTTTTATACTGTAATTTAAATTTCTTCGAGACCGGTTAAAAAACATGTCCGCTCACTACGAAACTTCGACTACGAATAAATGACTTGAAACAATTAAAAATGTTTTTAGTGTTTTTGTATACAAACTGTTCAATTCCCTTTTCGACGATTTCAGTTATTTACGCGATCTGTAAATACTCTATTGACTTCCTTGTCATAGCTATCTATATTCGAATTCGAAACCATCTTTGTCTCAGGTAATATATTTAAATCCAAAAAAGCAAAACGAACAAGCTCGGAGCTTAAATACCAAACATGATTACATAATTTCTCCAAAGTACCTTTAGATATATCTTCATCAATTTTTTAATATTGACTGAGAATAGAAAGAAGATTAAAATCTTGGAAATGAGCTTTGACTGATGACGATACATTAAACCATACTTCAGCATACACTTTAGTAATAAATATACATATATCGCAAGAAGCATTTTCTTCTTCTGTAGATAATTTGAACTCTTTCCTAAATAAATATATTTTTAATGCATGCATGGCTTTCACCATCCATCTCGCGTGATGTATAGTTCCAAGATCTCAAAACTTTATGCTGCAGTTCGGCTTTTCTCCTAAATATATAAATGCATGTTCCAGAAGTTCCCCATAATCATCTCTTGATTGGTTATCCTTACGAATCTTATTAAGAAAACTTGTAATTCGTAACACATCATCTGTGTTCAAAGATTTTCTTACTTCGTCTTTTTCTAAGCCGACAATATAATTATCAACTTTTAAAATCGTTGAAATAGTTCAACATTTGGGCTTTCAGACTTACAAATATTAGCATGGAGGACACTTTTGAAAATAATTTCGTAAATGTCTGCAAGCTAAATATGAAAGATCTCTTTCTAAATAATTTTCAATAATTTAGCAAGTTTCGTTAAAAGGGCCAATGTTTACAGCTGTCGTATCAGAAACTAAAACTTGCGCGAATTATATTTGATTAAAAACACATGAAACTTAAGTTTGATGCGTATTTTATTGAATGAATCTTAAGACTAGTTTTTTTTTCAACAGTATTCTGTATTTATACAAAATTATCTTGAGACTAATTTTATTCTCAAGGTTGAAATGTGTTACTTATTTTAATAAACTGTATTAATTTTAATTACATTTACTATTGTTTGAAAGAAAAGGTTAAAGAAAAGGACGGAAGTCCCAACACTAGGGATTTTCCTCCTATTGTTTTTATAAATATGTTTTATTGTTATAATTAGGTATTGAAAAATGTTACAATGTTTAGTTGCTTTCAATTTCCTATTTAATAGATAATTTTTGTTACAATGTTTAGGTATTTTTTATTTCCTGTTTAATACAATACATAATTTAAAATGTTTAGTAGTATAGAATATTTGCACGATAAAATATAATGTGTTGCTCGAGATTGTTTGTTTAGGAATAAACGATCTATACTTCTGATGTTTTGTGTTTGCTGATTATATCGTTCACTAGCGATATAACTCGCGTGATCCTGTAAACCCCATTTAAAAATTGATTTAAAATTAGCAGATGCCCGTGGTCTTCCGGTACCATTTATCTGTGCAAGTAATTGCTCAACAAACTCACATGAGATTATAATAGGTGGACGGTTCACATTTGTTTTTCTTCTAAAGCTGGCAGCAATTTTCGATCCTAATGCACACATCCTAACTGTATTTAGCTCACAAACTTTCGCTTAACCATAACTTAACTACAAGCATGGTAAAAAAGGACTTTTAATACTTCCCTATTTGATGGTTATTTATTTCCAGTCAACCCACTAGAATGATAACAAACAAGGTATATATTTTTACACAAATTTAAAGAAGACATCTCGGTAACACTTTTTATTGTAATCATTTTGAATCACTACGATAAAATACTATAAAATTCAGTTCGTATTCCAATGAATAACACAGAAACTTATTTATGTATATAACTGTCCAAATGTTAGACTTATTTTGTAACAAATTTAGTAAACAACATACAGTCATGCAGGCGAATGCATTCATAGAACTTACTAATTTCAATCGAATGATTTCAGCTTATTTTTTCTTTTACACAATAGTTATTAGATATACAGAAAAACTTTGTATGAGTAAATTGTTTATTTTGAATAGATCTATAACAGTTTTTATGTAGAATTAAATGTGTCGGAGATATAAGCAACCAAAAATGAATTTTATGGAGAAAACCGTTATTTTCCAATCATTGGAGCTCTTGGGGCACCATTTCCACTTATCCAATTG